CCCACCCCTTTCCCATCGAGTCGCACTGGCTCTGAAATGTTCATCGCTTTCGCGGCGGTTGCGCGGCATCCTCTTCCCGTTCCGGCTCATGGGTCTGAGTTTCCTGCCTTTTCCCTTTCCCGTGGAGCGGCGCCCACCTCGACCCCTCGCCCGGGAGATTTCTTCAAACTCGGTTTCGAATCCGCGGGCATTAACGCGGCGAAGCCTTTTTCCGTGTCACCGTCGGTTGCGACGACCACCCTTTCCACGACCCTTCTCCCGTCGGCGGAATGCCCCCCGTCGCGCCCTTCGCACTCGCCGCGCGGGCTGCTTGGTCATGCGCCCCCAGCAGAGTCGGCGGGCGAACCTCCATTGGAGGTTCGGCCCCATGGGGCAGTTTGGCTCTCAGGAGCCGCGCGCGACTGGGGATTGCAGGCTGTCCCCAGCCCTGTTGCGTCGATGACTTCGGGCGCTGTCTGCCAGTCCCTAGACACTGAGGGGCCGTCGATGGCAATGCAATGGCCTCCTCTGGGTTGCGTGCGTCGTCAGCTCGCGCGCCGTTGGGCGCGGCCGCGTCTCCGCCGGCGCTTGTCATGCATGCGTTCGCGTTTCCGCGCCCTGTGCCTCCCAGCAACGCGTTTCCGACGTTGCCGGGGGCGCGTTTAGCCAGACGCCCAAAGCTACGCATACGGTCCAACAGTTCGTCATATTGTTGCAAGGTCCGCGGCGTCTGGCCGTTGAGAAGATGGAGCATTTGCGCAGCCCTGCCAGGGCCAAAACTTAGGGCTCTAAGGTGCACCGTCGTGAGTAGCTGAGAGTTCGGAATGGCGAAGCCTACTGAGTCTGACTCAAGACGGGCCTTTTCGAACCGGGCAAGGATCAAGTCCGTTCTCTCGCCTGGCTCGGGCCTGAAGCATCGCAATGGCGCGCGCCGCGCCGCCCAGGCCGCCCTGCAAACGCGCAGCTTGTTGTTGCGGGGTCGCGCGGGCGCTCGCGACGTTCAGCCACCACGAGTGAACTCGAGAAACGATGCGTTTGCGGAAGGGTCCCAGTCTGGGCCCCGCGTTGCATTGCCGCCTCCATCGCTGTGGTTGCCACGTTGCACGCATCCTATAGCGCATCCGATGGCCAACTAAAGAATGCTGAAGGTAACATACATAGAATAATAATTCCATGGGAAAATCTGAGCATTGTCCTTGGTCGTCTTCGGAGTGTCCATCGCCGCATGGCGGCGGATTGGCTGTGGAGGCGTGCCTACATGTTGGTTCAAGAATATGGGGTTCGCGCTTCCGCGTAATGGAAGCTGGTACCTTGCATATTTTCGAAGTCGTCGTGAAGTGGAATAAAATGACGCGAAGCCTGGGCGTATGAGCTTTTCGAAGTGGTCCGGCGGATGTCGCCCATAATGGATATAACGTGTCCGCTAAGGGCGTTTGTGCCTGCTTGCCAGTAGTCACACTCTGACGTCGCAGCGGTGTTGGCGGCATGCCAACCCGCGCCGTGGATGAGTATTGAGATTAACAAAACTGACCACAGCTTTGTGGGGCCAGCTCCGCTACCAAGTGAAAAGCAGGATGAAGACCATGTGGTATAGCAGGCTGGAAGGTAGATGAGAGATGGTGTACCATCCAGAGGACTGATCGGGTCTCGTTTTAGGTACGATAGTAGATTGCTGCGTCCACAATCAATCTAGGCAAATAGGGCGCCGGCGTCTTGAACCAGACGCCGACGGCACGCTCGCTATGCTCGCTATACGCATACCCCTCTGAACCCCTATTTCGGAGTGCCCTCGCCGGGCCCCAAGACAATCAAGAAACGCCTCGGGATGATAATTAAGTCTGCCCCGGGAGTCAGGGGCCGAGACCCTAAGGGGCTACGCTGCGAAGAGGACAACGACGGGCATGACGCAGGGCAACTCCTGGGAGGTCTTCGTGGAAACGGCTCAGGGCTACTGAGCCCAAGCGCTCCGAGAATCAGAGACCACAAAGAACAGTGAGGACGAATACGAAAAGCATAAGAAGGAGGAGGAGGACGAGGAGGAGGAGGAGGAGAACGACGAGGAGGAGGAGGAGTAGGATGACGAGGAGGAGAAGGAGGAGGAGGAGGAGGAGGAGGAATACGACAAGGACGACGAGAATGACGGCAAAGATGAGGAGCAGGAGGAGAAGGAAAAGGAGGAGGAGGAGGAGGTGGAGGAGAATATGCGGTCTTTCCTCATTCCCCAGTCCCTAGTGCGCACGCATACTCGACTTCATGCCGATGTGTTGGAAGAGGGGCGGTGCGAAGGGCAGAGAGACGAAGGTGGAGGAGTATAACGATAAAGAACACGACGGGGAGTCGACAGTGAAAGGGAAAGCAGCTGGATGCAAGGCAGGGGGCAGGCAGAGGAGCAGTGCAGATGACCGGCTGCACAGCCAAAGAGGGCCCCAACTGGAATAGATGAGGTGGTTATCAGTTGGTTGACCTGCATACATATATATGTATGTATGTATGGCTGGTGCGGGTATACAGCGGTTAGCTATTTTGATAGAAATAAATTGCTGCATTTGGATCCGCGGGATTTACTTACGCGGTAATCCGCGCGCTCAACATATATTCGCCTGGGCAGCGTAACCTACTTAGCGCGGCTCGTAAGCTTCATTTTCTAAGTACAAGCTGTTTTTTTATTTGAGGACGCGCGAACATGATTTTCCAAAACGCGGCTGCATTCTTGCTTTTCTGCTTCCCATACGTCGAAAACTCCACCGTCATTCGCCCGCTGCCCCCCCCCGCCCCACTCCCCGCCCCCCCGTGGAGTTCGGCCCTCGTCGTGGACCCGCGGAACATCGCGCAGCCCGCCCGCCCGCTCCACACCCCCCCCGCCCTCCACATCTTTGACCCCGAGGAGGGCCCAAGAGGGGCCCGAGAGGGCTCAAACAAAATGGACAGCGTGACGCAATGATTGCGTCGCGCGGTGCCGCTTGAGAGCTCCCCTCATAGTGCCTTCTCGGGCTGTCTTGGGGCCATGCTGGGCCCATTCTTGGGGCCATTTTGGGAGCTCCCTGATAGAGGGCGGGGCCAGAGGGCCCCCAGCGGGTCCTAAACTACATCCCGGAACGATATTTCTTCTGGGCCGCAAGACCCCTGGGTGCCAGAGCTTTCTCGGGGCTCGATGTTGAACCCCTCTTGTGCCTTTGTGTGCCTCCGTTGGGGCCTTCTGCCCGTCTTGGGGCCCCCTTGTAGTAAGTGTCCCAGAAGTGTCCTAGAAGCCGTCGGTCCGACGGCTTCTAGGACACTTATAGGACACTCCCAGGACACTTCTAGGGGGGGCCCGACGGCTTTGCCTGCAGAGCCTGACCCTCTTGGGCCTCATCAGGTCCACGCGGCCCCAGCGAGGTCGTCCGCGCGGCGACGCCGCGCCCGTTTCGGCGCAGCCCTCGCGCGCGTCGCACCCCACCGCCTAATTGAGGGAGGGGAGGTGGGAAGGAACATAAAACTGAGGAGGATCAGGAAGCTAATCGGCGGACCCCGCACCAAGTCACTTGCAGCTGGGGTCGGTTCCGGAGGGGGGTGGGTGCGTCGGCGGCACAGGCGGCGGCCTCTGAATCGGCGGCGCAGGCGAAAGCATCGGAATACATGAAACGGCGTTGGTCGGGCGCACTGCCCTTTTCCTTTCACCGCATGCGGGCAAGCACGTCTCTGGACGCAGTTCTGAGCGGCGTGAACCAGTGGGTGGTCGAGGTCCCGAGGCGATATCCCTCGACATGCGCCATCATCCTCCGCATCCTCGCCCGCCTCGCCCTCGTCTTCATCCTCCTCGTTCCCTCCAGTATCCTCCTTATCCCTCTCCCACTCCACATACCTCTCCTCCTCCTCCCCCTCCTCCTCGCCCTCCTCCTCCGTATCCTCGCGGTCAGTGCGACGAGGAAGATGGGGATTGATATGATGACGACGTCGATGATGACCGCGAGGAGGAGGCACATGTTGGTGACGACGAGGGCGGCGACGAAGATGAGGACGCGGACGGCGACGAAGATAAGGAGGATGAGAAAAAAGAGGACAGAAACGGAGAAGGGGGAGAAGCAGGAAGAGGAGGAGGAGGGGAAAGAGCGCACTGCTGTCCCAACCTTTTCTGGAGGTTTGCTGTCTTACGTGCCCTTTTAAACCGTCAACACAGAGAGACTGGACAAGTCGAATCTTCTCGTGGCAATAAGTTGATTTCCAAACGTCGATGCGCCTCGCGAGCCCAAAGGATGCTCGCGGACGCCGATCAAAAAGATCGAAACCTACGCCTCATCCTCGATCTTCAAGAGGACGGGCGCGTGAAGGCAAGAGAAGGAGCGGGTGGAAGAACCGGGAGGGCGCCGAGGGGCCCCGAACCCGAAACCCAGCGGGGCGATCACTCAAAGTTAAACGTGCGCCGAAGTCGACGGGTGAGAGGTAAAACGCGGAGCTGGGCCTGTGATGCGGGGTGCCGCTGGCCCCCGCCAGGAAGCGCCGCGAGGGCGGCGCGGCAGCTGCGCTGCGGGTGGTCCGCCGCGGGCGCTCCCCCGCCAGGATCCGCTCGGAGCATGTCCCTGGCCCCCCTGTCCCAAGGGGCCCTGGGACACACAGAGGAATGAACACAAATCCAAAGATTCCCCATGTCTTCAAATGTCTTCTGCTTTTTCGTCTTCCCCCCACTTCCCATACTTTCCAGTTCTTTCCTGGGAGTCAACAGTTCAAGGTGCCGGTGTGGTTTTTCCCCTCCTGACTGACTCTGGATCCGCCGTGGTTTTGGGCGCCTACGAAGGGCAGCACTTCCCGCCCTACCGTTCGAATTCCTTTGATTTCGATTCCCGCTCTGCTTCGCCGCCGCTGTTTCCGCCATGCATTCGCGGAGCTGGCTGCCCCACCTCTCCAAGGCTGACACTGACGCCCTCCTTCTTCGCATCGTCTGGGCTGCAGTTCCGACACGGCTTTGAGCCAGAGAACCAGCGAAAGCACGACGGATCTGGAGCCGAGGCCCGCTCACACGACCCCTGCCGGCTAGGCGGGCGTGCTCCAGGGAGATGTCGGTCAGGTGCTGCTTGTCGGCGTCCGAGAACAGCCAATCCCGGACGCCCTCCTTGATCTGCTGCAGCATGGCGGCGCGCCGGCCGTCGCCCCCCCCCCCTCCCCCCTGCGGCAGAGGATCGGCGCAGAACGGCCGCGGGGATCGCACGTTTACCGGCGCGCGAGAGGGAGCCGTCGTGAGAGCTCAAACACTCTGGGGGTGACAGCTTCCGAAGCGATCGGGGGTGGGGGTCCTGTGCGAGAGATAAAGAGACAGAGAGAACAAGAGAGACAGACAGAGAGAGAACGAGAGAGAGAGAGAGAGAAAGAGGGAAAGAGATAGAGAGAGAGAGAGAAACAAAAAAAAGGAGACCGGGGGAGAGAGAGGGGGAGAGGGAGAGAGAGAGGAAGGCATAGACTAGAAGAGGGAGGGAGACAGAGAAAGAGAGAGAGAGAGAGAGAGAGCGAGATAGAGACAAAGAGGGAGAGAAACTGAGAGAGAGAGAGAGAGAGAGAGAGAGAGAGAGAAGCAGATGCTGATCATGCCTTCGTGTTTTTTCTTTGTGTACGTGTGGATTGCCAACGATAAGCCAGAGTGCCAACAGGTGTGGAAGAATCGATCCCTTGTTCTGCCAAAGGCGGTGTTAAGCGACGTTCCGCGCGCGCTCCACCCACCCTTTGGCGGTGGAGTTCCTGCGCGGGGTGGACGGGAAGCAGAGGCGAGGCCCGAGCCCAAAAAGGCTGCGGAGAGAAGGGAGGACAGAAGAGGGGAACCTACACGCCGCAGGGCAATCAACAAAGTCAAGGCGTGCCCGAACAAAAGAACGCGTGCGTTGCGGTGCCGCTCCTCTGTTTTACGCCCCTCTCCCGGCCCCGCCGCGCTCTTCGGCGCCCCACCTGGCGAGGAGGAGGAGGAGGAGGAGCAAAACGACGGGGAGGAACAGGGGGAGGAGCCCCACACCCGTTAGCGCAGCAGAGAGTGCACTCCAATATGACGAAAGGCGCAGCAGCGGGCGCGGCCTCGAACTGCTTGGAGTGCGAAAGCCCTATCCTGCCCTCCCCGCCTGCGGCGCTGATTGAAAGCAGAAAATCAGGTATCAATGGCGACAGCACTGGCATGCATGAACTCACTCGCTCTAAGGGTGTGCTCGAATGACGGCCAGAGATGGGGAAGAAAATTAACAGGCGCAACATAGCCCCACTCCGGAGGGAGCGAGGGGAGAAGCTCCCTCAAGAGGGGGATCACAACTGGACAGGTGACATAATGAGAGATATTGTCGGCCCCTAAATTGCAACACCCAAAAACACAAGGTCCAGTGGCCTGTCTGAAACGCTTTGTAGGTGGCCAAGCATTGAACACGGTTTTTTAGAAGGGATGTAATAATAAAGCTGGGCAGCCTCCTAGCAAGAACATTAAGCCTCAGAACCGTCAGTTGAGCATCATGGGGTGTAGCATGTGGAAGCCAATAGCGAAGACGAGCAAGGACAATATGATTGATGAAGTGATGGGGCTGACGTCGAACAATAAACTTCGTGATCAGACTCTGCAGCTTTTTCGGGGGCACGTGGATCGGGGCATCTGGGATTCTGATGCACTGGCTATACACGATAAGCATGTTCCAGAAGATAGAATTCAGGAAGTGCGGGTCCCACTTAAACGTTAGAGTCCTGTTGTCGTCTTCCTGGGCAGCATAATACATGGAGCGCATAGCATGGAACTCTTCCGAGCGGATAGCACAGCGTAGCATGGGCGCGCGACAGGGGGTTTCCATAGAGCGGCACTGCACAGGAATACCTAATTCTTTGAGATGGAACATGGCCTTGGGAGGAAATGCACGTCGCGGCGCACGAGGAAGCTTTTGGTGCGCCTCTCGTTCAGCACGAACGAGTTCTTTAGACGGCAGGTAGAACTGACCTACGTGCGATGTGACAGGGACGACGTAGGTGTTGAAAGCCTGCACGGACTGGATGAAACTCAGCCCCAGGCTCCGTACGTCCTCTGTTCGGCTCCCAATGTTAACTGCAACTGGCTGCCAGGCGTCAAGAAAACCTTGCCCACCGACCAGAACTCCCAGGAGTTTGCCAGACCTCTGAATCTGATAACGCGAAACATCAAGTCCCCGACCACGGAAAGCCTCCAGGACATCCTTTTTCTTCTCCATATTCACAACAACAACGACACATTTCTTATAGTTAAGCGTGAGCCCAGTTACCTTACCTGCTAGCACAAGCCTCACCAACACCTGCGGCAAGGTCTTGCAGAGGCTGCGAGCAACTAGGTATATGTCATCGGCGAAGGCGCCGATCTGAAATACGAGACGCTCCTGCAGCTGTAATACGCAGCGCAGCACTGGATCCAGCACAAGCGCGAAGAGCACACCACTGAGTGGACATCCCTGTTTCATCCCACGAAATGAATAGAATACATGCCTCCCTCCTCCCCAGACTATTGAAGTCCATGTATCGTCATATAGCTCCTCTATCGCATTGATGAGATAGGGTGGCAACTGCATGCGCATCAGAACGCAATTGATCCAGCTGGAAAAAAACACTCGGGAAGGCGTGCTTAAAATCGAAGAGCGTGAAGCCGCTCTCCGCGTGCTTATAGACGGTGCCCCAAAGCGCGAGCAGCCCATCCATATTGATGATATTGTCATTCATCATCCTCCCCTTGACGAACCCCCGCTGGACGATGTGGCAATTTTCAGCAGCGACACGATTTAATGCCGATGCGATGGCGGAGCTGAGGAGCTTGTTATCAGCATTCGATAGCGATAGCGGCCGAACGACATGCGGTTCACGACCCCCCCCCCCCCCCCTCCCTGGACCACATCACCTTTAAGCAAAATACAGCCCTGCAGTGGTTGAAGCAGGGGGCGACTCTGCCACCAGAAAGGGTGTGGCAGCACAGAGCATAAAGTGCAGCACGCGTCTTTTTACCTGTCCTCTGCCAGGCGGAATAGGGAACTCCATCTGGGCCCGTGGCCGTGTCACGCTTGAAATCGATCAAACCGTTGAAGTGCTCCTCGGTCAGGGCCCAGTCGAATCTCTGGTGGCTACTGGTGACATATTGGGGCCCCGTACCGTCAACCTCCTGGATGAACTGAAATAGAGCATGCTCAGACCCAAGACAACCTTCATCATCATTGTCAAAAACTTGGCCCCAGTAGTCGGCAAGAGGCCTAGCAGCCTCTTCTGGGTCAGTATGAACCTCTCCCTGAGGCCCACAAACACCCACAAGCTTAATACGAGGCCGCCGTGCAGCCCATGCAGCAGAGAGACGCTCGACTCGACGAATGGCCTGCTCAGCAGCTTCCGAACCTAGCTCACTATGCTCGCACACCTCCCTCTCCTCCCCCTGGTACATCTCACGCATCATGGCGCTGAGATGCCCATGAAATCGCCCTTGATCGAGCCAGGTCATCGTCTCGGTTTTTTTTTTTGTAAAAAATATATAAAAAAGGCGAAGAGGTGTCTGTAGCCCAGACAAGCACGCCGAACATGATAGAAGCTGCCAGATCGCGCAGCACGGACAAGCTTGAGACAGCAGGCTGCCTTCTCTGGCCTCGTGCGCGCGCCCGAGATCTCGACGAACCTCCGAGTGTGGCCAGCAGCAATGTGAAATATCTCTTTAATTTCCTGCACTGCTGTCGGTGGATGCGGCGAAAGCCCAGTGGTAGCGATGAGATCCTCGGCAAACTCACCGAAATGCGGATGCCTGGCCACCCGCGGGGGAAGAGCCTTGGCCGGTCACTGCAGGCCGCGGAGCATGCAAGCAAAGAAACACTGGAACGTGGTCAGAGGGCTTGGCCCTGTCGGCAACCTCCCAAAGGACTCCAGTGTTAGGACGATAGTTTAGTAGCGTGACTGTGTCAATGTTGCAGTAGATGCGATCGAGACGAGCGTATGTCAGCTTATTGCGTATGATAGCACGATGGGTATATGCTGGTTGTTCGACTTCGGAGTAATGAGGAAAGAGATAGTCAAATATTGTTGCTAAGCGAGATGGCGATGTCTTAGGAACAGGTGGTTCAAGATAGTGTCTGCATTATCCATGTTCATGGAAATTAAAATCCCCTAGCACAATACTCATAGCCTGGAACTGCGGGGGCAAGGAACGAGACAGAGAATGGAGAATACCGCGTGTTGCTCGTTCAGACCACTCAGGATCCAAATGGACACTCGTAACTTGCAATGCACCTTTCGGGCCCTGGAGAGTAAGCGCGAGAATGCGACCTGCCACGAGCGCGTGCGAATCTATCATCGCGAACTGCTCGGCGAGCTTTCCCTGACCAGCAGCGCAGTACCTCCAGCATGGGACTCCTGGATGAAAGAACCGAAGGCTCGGAATCTCGGAAAGTCGCGGGTCAGAGTCTCAAGGTCCCCTTCCTGACCATGGGTCTCCTGTGCAACAATTGCACCCATCTTCCGTGCAATGCTGGCCAGAGCTAAATTTAGACGCACCGTGCTTATGAGAGGCAGAAATGGAGTGGAATAGGTTCTGGGCATTCCAGGTGCACACGAAGCGGCTGCGCGAGCAAGAATGGTTTTGTGGACGCTTCTGGTCCACTCGAATATGTGCTATCTACTGTACTCCGAGTTGAGCTGGAACTTTGCGTCGAGGGGGTAGCCGAGGGACAAGAGCTGGCCGAAATAGTAGCGCATGAGTCTCCGACTACGCTGGTAGTGCATTCATGCCCCCAAAGAGAATGGCCACGATTGTCATCGACGTTCGACGAGTATGCCAGCTATTCCTCCTGATGTAGGCGGCTTTGTTTTGGACATCTTCCATGATCCTGCTCAGCTTGTCTGCGTCCAGGGAGAAGAAGGAGACGGTGTCTTGATCAAGGGCGAACGTGAACGACGCATACTTGACATCCGAACAGCTGACCAGCGGCCAAACATCATTTCCATCTGACCAATGAATAGTGCCCTTGTACCCGTTGATGATGGGCTTCGAACCTGCAGTGTACCGTGGGCTGGCTCCGAAGAGCTCGATGATGGGGTCCCATACCTTGCTGAGCGCCCTCTGGGTGGTCCTGACATCCTTCGGCAGGTCGGACCTGGCCTTCATGTAGTGCATCGATCCGTCTCGAGGATCCATC